TTAAACTGAATAGTTCTATCAGTTCTGAACTGTTTTCGCTAGAGTTCCTGGCACTCTTCCGAACAGCATATTGTAGGAATCTTCCCTAAGGTAGATACCTGTAATCATTCTACCCAACAAGATAAAGTTTTATACCTCACGACCTCACCAATGTTAGATGAAATAAGATATCGGATGAATTGTTTTGTATTGTTATATATAGCTCTGCCTTCTTCCACTGCGGCTACGATCGTAGCGAAATTATCATCCGCAAGAACCATTTCTGATCATAATGTTACGGAGAAATATTTTCAAAACAATGAATATTCCCTGGATGGTTTGAACAGATTTAACATTTAACATAATATCATTTGTGTTGATTGATGATTGACGTAGAATGCTTTATGCTTTTCTGAACATTTTGAATACAAGTCAATGGCAGACTGAAACGTGTGATTCAAGCCGAGACTCCCTCTAACAGGTATTAAGGCCCAATTCCACTCAAGAAAAATTTCCACAAACAGAAATTTTTCGGAAAATATCAATGTTGAAAATTTTCAACTTCAAAATTTTTTCTCCCACGGAAAATTTGTATCGGCCAATCACATTTTACAAAATGATTCAAAGACTTTCAAAGATTTTTGCTGCCTATTTTCAAAGACTTTTCAAAGACTTTTGAGAGCAATCAGCTGTCGAAAAATTGCAAGTGTAAGCAACATTTTTACCCAATAATTAGTCCCTTAAATACATGCGCCTTTTCGTCGATTTGCGAAAATTTTGCTTCAATCAATCTATTTTATTAGCTAGGAAATCGTATAATCAAATACTCACTAAAGAATTTAAAGACTTTCTTCGCTTTTTCACACAATTCAAAGACTTTTCAAAGACCTTAAAGACCTGTATTCAAATTTAAAGACTTTCAAGGATTTCAAAGACCGCTACGAACCCTGAGGAAATTTTCCTGAAAATGGGCCTTGTAACCTAAATAATCTATTTCGCATTTCATGCATCATGTAATCTTATGAAAATTCAATTGCTCTTTAGAACGTATTGTTAAATATATTACGAAAACCTCTACGGTGTTGAGCGTGGAACAATAACCATTGTTATAATATGCGAATGTGGTGATCAGACACAGTCTACACTCAGCGCAAAGCTAACATTTGTACCATAATTTAAAGAACATGAAATGGTGTGAGAAAACCTCGGATACCAAATACATTCAACTTTAAATTACTTTCGGTACAAATAAAAAACTTCACTCAGAGAATGGATTCACAGGTTACATCATTTCACCATTAGATAAATGGGCACGGGGCATTTTCCATACACGCAGAAAAATTTCCACAATCACTCGCAAATGTTGTAAATGTGAACGTATTCTATTTTGCAGAAACCAGCCCCTGTCACAGAGACGAAAGATACAAATGCCCGATCCAAAAACACCCCAAAACAACTAAACACAAGCAACAAGGTAAACAGCTATTATTAAAAGGATACCAGAGGCAGTCTTAGCCACAGCCGTGCCAGAACCCATAGCGACGCCAATCTCGGCTTTCTTCAAGGCTGGAGCATCGTTAACACCATCGCCTGTCATAGCTGCCACGTGGCCGTCATCTTGAAGATATTCTACTATACGACTTTTATGTGATGGTTCAACACGAGAGAATAACCTAGACAGAGAATGACGTAATCTATATCACCATCCAAATTCCCCCTCCGGAAAGTACATTAGCGAGCTTAAGATGCACCAAATCACAGTTAATAGAATACATGGTTTGGAGACTCGATGAAAGTACAATACAACTCATTAACTATGTTGGTTTCGGTTTATGCAAGAATCTCGTCACGTGTGTATTGCATTTTTTCTCGCACAACCAATAGCAACGTTTAAATTGAGCATTTGTTCAAGTTACGGATGGATAACTCAACCACAAACTTAATTGTTATTGGTTATTTGAGCGAAAATGCAATACACACGTGACGAGATAGGACCAAATTCTTGCATAAAGCTGGACAATCACATAGTTAATGAGTTATATTGTATTCCCATCGAGTCTCCAAACCATCTATTAAAATAACTGTGACCAAATCTACGACGCGGACGTGAAGAAAAACTGTAACTATTCCCACAGTTTCACTACACGGATAAAAGTTATGGCCTCCAGTTGGTAAACAAAGTCAGAGACACAAGTGAAGCAAAATAAAACTGGATTCCAAACATTAGCAACGGTTTTTATGTCACGTCCGCGTCGTAGATTTGGTGCATCTTAAGCTCGCTAATACTTTGTGGCTATAGAGCATGCAGTCAAGCCACCAAAGCGTTAGGAACACAAAGTATTTCAAAGGGATACTGGTAAACGAGAAAAGTCTTCTTTTCATAAGAGAAGAGGCCATTACCTTGCCCTTCTGCAGGCCTCTCGTTGTTCCTCCTCAGTTAAGTCATCAAATTCACGTCCAGAGTATGATAAACCAGTGGTGTCTTCTTTCAAACCAAAAACACCAATCCTTCGACATATAGCTTCTGCTGTTGCCTGAAATAGGTATACATTCGTTTAATTCCATGCTCTCATATATTAGAACCACAGTTACGGGTCAATCGAGTTATAAATTGTCAGCAAGGTTGTAAACAAGCACTGGATAATTTTTCTACCCCCTACTGTATACCTTGTTATCCCCAGTAATAACAATCACTTGTATTCCAGAATTTTGACATCTCTGAATGGAGTCGATGACTTCCTCACGCGGAGGATCCAACATTCCAACTACACCGACAAAAGTCATTCCATTCTAGTACAGATAAAACATTTTAGTTCTGAGTTCACATGGTTGGCTAGCCCTTAAACGTACATGTACCTGATTAAAATTGCCCAAGATCAGAATTTAGACTTCTTTCACTTATTCAGAAGTGAAGGGGAATCTTACTTCATCATTTCAGACAAACTGCAAACTTTCTAAATATTTCCAAATTTATGCACACTGATTCCACTGTACCTCATACTTAGTGACGTCACGAGTTTCTAAGTCCATCTTTTCTTTGGCCAGTGGTTTGTCTATCGTAGCAAGAGCTAAACATCGCAGGGTGTTTTCACCTATAAAGGTATATGCATAAACTAATTAAATATTATGCAGTTGTATCCGAGTCGTACACTGAGTCAATAAGTATTTTGGGGGTATTTCCTCTCCCACGTTTGAGAGTCTCCGCACCACAAAATGCGACTTTTTAGTATTATATTTCAAGTTATTTGAATAATGGTAAATTTTCAGTTACAAGTTTTAAAAGTCGCTTTTCACGTTGTTTGAATTGTCTACAATATTCCGCGAGGACAGACAGTACCCCAAAAATGGCGAATTTTGGCCTTCGTGAGAATGGCTAAATTGTGTTATCTTTTCATGTCACGCAATCACGAAACCCAATCCAATCCCTTTCCCTAACCTCCTAACCCCTTCTATTTCGTTAATTCACCTACCTGTGCCATAGACGTGCACATTGCTCAATATTTCATTCTTGATTGCTTCTGTGAGAGGGACAGTATCTCGTCCAATACGTACATAATCACATCGCTCTAAAATACTCTCTGGCGCTCCCTAGAACACATATAAACACTAACTGGTACCATTGAACTGCTAATATTTATAAGACTAAAGTGAACTGCTAATTAGTCAACTTTTGGTTGCTCCGTTTTGAGTAATTTCAATATTTAGGTTTTAGATTTATACTCATAATTTGTATTATAGGACTTTTATCCATAGATTATACATTTTATTGTAAATTTTTGCGCAATTCAACCCTCGGGTTGCAAGGCAAATTTTTCATCAAACAAAATTAAATTTTGCGATTGAATAGACTTTATGCATAATGACGTCACAAGGCTTGATGCCCGCGAGGAATGCTAGTCTTAGCTTACCTTAACGAACATCTTAGGTCCAGAACTTGGGAACATTTCACGGAGTCCATCTTTAGGTATACAGTAGACGCTCATTGATTTACGATCTCGAGAGAACTCGAATGTAAATTCCTACAAAGGTTATTTACGAACTAGAGTGAGCTACTTTAAATCACAAACTAGGGTAAAGGCCCATTTCCATTTCAAGAAAAATTTCCACGGGCAGAAAATTTTCCGAAAATGTCATTGTTAAAAGTTGAAAATTTTCAACTTCAAAATTTTTTCCCGATGGAGAAAATTTGTGTCGGCCAATCATATTTTACAAAATTTTCTTTCTGCGAAAAAATTTTCCTGAGTGGCAATGGGCCATTACAATGTTGGGGGCAACAATGTTTGACAACCTTTGAGAAACATGGCTATATGTAGGTAACGATGTTTCCTGGTTTGTCCACCTTTAGGAAACATGGCTAGGAAACACGGCTAGGAAATGTTTCTTGGTTTGTCCACCTTTGGGAAACATGGCTAGGGAACAACGTTTCTTTAAGTTAACAGTGTTTTCTCGTCTGCACAGGGTTTCTGTGATACAGTAACTATGGGTCATACCTTCGAGAAATGTTTGAGAACTTCATTATTACATGCATTAGCCAATTCATGAGGATCTTTGCCTTTGAGGTTCAGCCCAAATACATTCAATTTCTCAACGAGTACAACCAGGGCTGTCTCGGTTGATTCTCCTACTTTCTCGTAATGCTTCTTGGCCTCGTTGTAGTCGACACCAGAATCATTACATAAAGTGCAAATGATGGCCAATTCTTGAATGGCTTCATAATCTTGAACATTTACTGGCTTCCCATTTAATGTTCTATATATAAAACAACAATACATCGGTAAAGATAGGCACCTGTGTGTTTTAGATCATCACTCTGATATGTATTGCAGTCTGGGCAATCAATATTGGCCATTTCAATGATCCTGCCCACGGTGGATCAAGGGTGCAGTGTATTATTTCAAAATTGCTGTTGCCTTAGGCCCCGTTTACATGAGACTGGGACGAAGTCAAACCGGAATGAAAATTGAAATTGTCAACAAGTTTACGAAAATCGCAAAATTTTCAATTTATTCCCCTTGCCAAGCAATTTTCACTTTTAGATGGCTTTTGTTAGCATGTGTTGTTCCAATGTCAAGGGTACAGCCGAGACCGATCTGAAATGTATTTGTGTTTACATTCATCCCGGTCTGAAGTCAGTCAGCTCGGTCCAGCAGGCGAAATGACTTGAGACCGGTCCGAGTTATTTTCGTCCCGGTGTCATGTAAACATCTATTATAAATAATACTATGACCGAAACGGTCCCGGTTTGACTTCGTTCCGGACTCATGTAAACGGGGCCTTAGCTGTGGCTGCAATTCCTGAAGGACTGCTTGTTGTTGTAACTATGTGTCTTATGTTAGGCGAGTTGTTGACCATCGAGGGAAGCTAGGCAAGGAGATGCAATACAGCTAGAAAGAGCATACTAAAATTAGTAAAATAGCAAAATTTGGTTGCGAAATGTTATAAAATGCGGAAAATATAGTCTTGCAAAGTTTGTAAATTTTGTATACTTTTGTATTGCGTGCGGAAATTCCTACCACATTTGGGCCGAAAATGGTAGCAATTTCCGTACGCAATACAAAAGTATACAAAATTTGCAAACTTTGCAAGGCTATATTTTCCGCATTTTACAACATTTCGTAACCAAACTTTGCAAATTTACTCATTTCAGTATGCTCTTTCTAGCTGTGGTGATTTATTTACATCTCCTTGCCTAGTTTTAAAATTAATCTATAATGGGAATTGTCTATTGCCTGTTTTTGCCCTGTCTTATTGCAGTAAGTTGTGTTTGTTACCCCTTCGCCATTTCCCCACCCAATTTTTGTTTTAGTTAAACTTTGTTAGTTCAACAAGTACAATGGTGTATAGACCACTATAGATGTATTTTTTCCACTGACTAGTCAGTGTGACAGGTGCCGGAGGGATGCCTTAGCATAATTGTCATGGTGAACTCCTTTGCTGCTATAATTGTTGTTGCTCTGTTGCTAAAGCACAAAGTTTGTCCCTTACATTTCTCCTTCAGGAGCATAGGTTGTACCACTAACATCAAAATGATTAAAAGTTGGCTTTTTGTCTTTCATTTCATCTAAAATAAAAAACTGAGATAAAGAGAAAATGAGGATTTAATTTGGTAAATCACAAACAACAGTATTAACATTAACAAACATATAATATTGGAGGACATTGTAACTTCTAAACAGTTTTCTTAGAAGTCCAGTAAGGGTCGTGCTTCAGTGAATCCAATATTACTGTACTACAGGAGAAAACCTAAACTAAGTTTAATTTATACCAGAGTAGCTCTATCAGTTGTAAGCTATTCTCTCTATAAGTGCAGGATTGATCCAGTGTTACTGCAAAATAAATACTAAAATTTTTTTTTTTTATATTGTCTATACTGGATAGCTCTGCCAGTTCCAGGGCAGGAAAAAAAAAGAACTTTCTTCCTGGGAGCACAACCTGGAGGCAAAAATAGTGCATAAACATATACTGTAGTGTACTAGCGGACCATGGTTTTAAATTCAAGGAATAATGTCTGTCAACCATATGTTGTTGCGCCCATAGTGGGATATTAGTGTTAAGGTTTCCTTCAAATCTTCACTAGCAAATCTTCATTCAAACAAATTTCCTGCAACTGTTTAACATCATCATGTAACAACATCCCACCTTGCAAACGGACATTTGATTCGTAGTGAGGGTTCCAGTCTTATCAGAACAAATGACAGACGTACATCCGAGTGTCTCAACTGATGGAAGGCTACGAACAATTGCATTTTTCTTCGCCATTCTTCGAGTCCCTACAACATTAAAGACATAAGCATTATTGGGCTGATACCAGAGGGCTCTACAGGGTGTATCAAAAAAAGCGCAATCCTCGACTGAAATGTAAATTGCTAAACAAATAATAGACGAAAACGTTAAAGTTTACATCCATTTTAAAGCGTAGCCATTCAGCTTTCTAACAGTGGGTTGTTTCTTAAAATTGACTCATTGGTTCGCGGGTAATAATACTTTACGTTATTGCGATTGGAGATTAAAAAAATTGAGATGGAATAACAAATCGTTCTCATGAAAATAACTGATTTTTTCATTAAAACAAAAAAATGTTGCATTTTAATAAATGGATTGTAACAATATGTATAATTACGTCTTTTCTTCCACTACTTTTAACACAGTTTGAAACTTCAAATGCGATATAATTTTGGCTTGGACCATCTAAGCTGACTGACATCAGCTTGCTATAATTTCTGTTTACATTACATCGTAATTCGATGACACTCTGGCTCAGACACCAGAATGTTTTGATTCTACAGTATGATTTTTAGCATTCGTTTAGGATTTTCAAACAACCTGGTCTCTTTTAAAATACTTTTAATTTGTTCTTACGTGGTTTTCCAGATGTAGTGACGACAACATTAAAGTTTAAAGAAGAAAATTCTAACATTTAAACCGACTAAACAATAACATAGTAAACTTGCATTAATTTAAACAGCAACTAAAAATGATAGGTTTTACTAAATATTTTCCTGTGCAATTATTACTAGCATTGGAGACAAGGATAATAGTTTGTTTGAAAGAGAAAAGAACATGCTTTGAAGTAAGCCTAAAAGCGTTTAACTAGAAATAGTATTTCGAAAGTTATTAAGCACAAAAGATGAATTGCGTTTATTTTGATACACCTTGTATATATGTCTGGAGCGAGAACTTCAGTCATTCGGCTTATGAGAAAAGTGAATCCAAGATGGTGGAAATTGATATCCAATAGCTATGGTAGTAAACAGTTTTAATACCATTTTTCCCAGCTACTTCCACAGTTTTTTTTCTAACAGACTGTATCGCTAAACAAGTTATCAACTTTCATAAAACCATACTGCAGGGCGCGAAGGCCAACTCAACTTTAGCTTGGACATGCCAAATTTCTGGCCGGTCAAATTATTCAGCTTAAAGCAAAGCCTAGTAAAGTATACCCCTAAAAATGCGACTATTTTCCCAGTATAGCATTACAAAAAGCCTTTCTGTGATCAGTAATTAAAAACTCCTTCACATAAAACAGCTTGCACTGTGCTAAAAGAATGGTCTTAACTCTTAAGCCAAAGGCATGGCCATGCGCTTTGTGACGTACGGCGTGGGAAAGCTGGCGTACATTGAACTATTGAAGTTCTTTTTCCGCAAAATATTCGACAACATGTCATGGTTCTTAATAATACTTGACAACTTTATTTTGATTATTAATTAAAATGAAGATTATTAGTTTGTTCTTTTGCCGAAAGTGACCGGTCAAAATGACCGGCAAGGTAAGAATTTGACTGCACAACTCCACATTCTGGCCGGACATGTACAGTTACTCTTTCTTTAAATCGACATGTTACTCTTTCTTTAAATCGACTCTTTGCCAGCTTCGTGTTAACTGTTAAAAGGACTGGAACTGACATCCACTAGCTCTTTTATTTTCACCATCTTTACTTTTTGGACTCAAATTCTCGCTCCAGATGTACACATTTACATAAGAGTGATGGTCAAAAACTCACCTAATGCAAGACATATAGTTACAACAGCAGGCAATCCTTCTGGGATTGCAGCCACGGCTAAGGCAACAGCAATTTTGAAATAGTACACGGCACCCTTCACCCATGATCCACCATGGGCAGGATCATTGAAATGGCCAATATTGATTGCCCAAACTGCAATGCATATCAGAGTGATGATCTAAAACATACAGGTGCAAGTGTGTCAACCATTTACTTGTCAAGGGGAGAGCGCTGCCTCTAATGAGTTATGGCAAATTCATATTCTGGCATATGAAGATTACTGCTGACGCCACAATACCTATTTATTTAGTTTGAAATGCAATCACTTTACACCTGCTTATAATGAGATAAGAGGGGATAATGGGGCTAAGCAGGGATATTGAATGTGGGGACGAAATCTTTTTGAGATTGGGGGGGGGGAGAAAATATGTTATAGAGGAAGGTTTCAAGGGGGGGGGGGCAACAGCATTTAAAGGGGATGGGATTTTGAGGGGGGGGTGAAGAGGACTCGGGATATGTTACTGTATGTAGGGTGGTTTTGCAGGGATTTTAAGGGGCAAGGGGAGCATTTATTTATGTTGCACATAATCACAATAAAAAAATTAACATTCTATCTAGGGTCAGGATTGAAGATTTTCACTTACAAAAAAAGTGAAGGGGAATCTTAAATCATCATTCCAGACACAATGCACTGACAGATATCAAAATAAATAAACACAGATAAACAAACCTACAATGCATTTTGTCTGGGCTGTAACTCACCTTTGAAAGTTGTTCACCAAACTCATCCAGTTTACATTGTAATGGAGTTTTTTCTGAGACTGTTTCAACCATCTCATCTCTGATTTTACCTAAAATATTAACAACAAGATTTATGATATGAAGTGACTAGATAGTTGGCAATGAGCTGATATTTTTGCATTTGCATTCAGCGAGCTAGCTGGTAGTGTTTTGCATGCAAAGTGAAATACAGTGCAGGTTGGACTCCCGCTGCCTCGTGTATTGTCATAACAAAAGTTGTCACAAAAACTTGCAGGGATAATTGATCTTTCTCTGTGCATACCTATCTGTGTGTTACAACCAATGCCACACACAACACCAATAGCTCGACCAGCAGCAATGTTCGTACCCTAGGAAAAATATTATAACCTTAGTAACAAAATATATCCTATGGTTCCGGTTTTACACTAAAAAAATTGCAAGGAAACTTAATCCCAAGAATCTTCATACACTTTTTTCAGAGTAATTTACCCCTCGTCCTGTGGTAGTAGGCCAGAAATTGTTTTTCTTTCAAACTTTTTTTTCACTTGAAATCAGTTTGAAAATATGTTAAATTGAGGTTATTTTATTACAATCCTGTATAAAATTTGGGCAAACTTTCAACAGCCCCCCTCCCCTGCCCTTAAAACATCAATCTCGTTCCCTGAGCCTGCGATCCTCGGGAAGGAACGCGAGGCTCTGGGATAATCCGTTACCGGAAGCCAGGAATTCTGGCTAAGATTGAACTATGCATTCCATTTCAACGGCCAATCAGATTCCTCCCTGAAACGGATTATCCCAGGGCCTCGCGTTCCTTCCCGAGGATCGCAGGCTCGGGGAATGAGATTGTTAAAGCGTCCTGTACATGTACGAGTGTGTTCCCAATTTATGTACCAGTACGCCAAGTCATTTCAGATGGTAGTGCATGAATGTTTAATCATTTCATTCATTTTATGTTTGAGTTATCATCATTAATGACAAGGCACATCCTCGAAAATGCAAGCATCCAGCATAGCATCAGGGACTAATTTTAAGCTACTTACTGAAAACAACATGTTCGTTTTGTCTTGGTTCACAGCTCGTTCATCAGGAATAATACATGTATGCTTCAAAACGCTCACACTTTCTCCTGTTAGAAAAGAACAAAAGTATCGAATTAGTATGAAAAACAAAGTGTACCAAGAACGGCGTTGTGTAGAAGGATGTCTTAGGAAATAGGCAAAAAATTATTTAATTTTAAGAAAACACTACATCACACCATACAACTACTACTAACCTGTTAAAATTGACTGATCTACCCTCAGAGTTATTGACAAGATATTTGTAACACGTATATCTGCAGGAACTTTATCACCAACTAAAGAACAAAACAATAAATTACAGAAAATCTTATTCAGACTTTCTCTTCTTATTCCGACCTAGCCTTCCAAGATGAAGGCCGACCGACTATTTACCTGCAACATGTACAACATCGCCAGGCACCAGGTCCCTCGCTTTTATCTTCTGTACACCTGCTTTAGTCTGTCTTACGACTTTGGCAATTTCTGGTTCATACTCTTTCAAAGCTTCTATGGCACTTTCAGCATTTAATTCCTGTGTAATGTTTAGTAAATTCAGTAAGTGATTGCATATTTTCCACTCTACATAGGAAATTAATCCATTTCAGACATCCCAGAATATATACTATTATCAGAAGTACTATATACACAGGACCTGTATATTTGAGAGTCTTTTTCACACAGCTTAGACACAAACTATGGCAGCCTTTTGTATAATACTACCTACACTGGAGTGACTGGACCGCTATAACTTGCAATTTGAACATTGCATAATAAATCATTGTAAATAATTGATGCTTGATATTGGCTTTTAGTATTTTTGCACAAGTGAATATAACAAATCCTACAACCTGATTGGTCAAATTTGATGTTATAACAAAATAGGTGAATATAACATAACCGAAATTTGCAAATGACAGCTAGCCATTTTGTGGAAGTGTACTGATAAAGAAATAAGAGAAATTAAAATAACTTCAGTACCAAAAAACACTAAAACTACTAAAAATACTAAAACAATTATTCGCTTCGGGCTCGGTGATTATCGCCAATATCGGGGAATATTCACCTTGACTTTGTCTCAGTGAAAATTCCCCAATAATCACCTCGCCTTCGGCGAATAATTGTTAAATGTTCTATAAACTTTACCTAGATACACATCTGCAGCATTGCACTGCATAAATGATTCACAAAAAACCTATTCACAATTTACACATAGGCAAAAAAAAAACCCATAAAAAATTAAAAAGTTGATTTTAGGTTTATAGTACTTTTTAGTTGACGAACATTTAATCTATGTTGATGCACAGTTTTGTATTCTAGTTTTCATATGTGATTCAAGCAGTGAACTTAATGTTTCTAGATCAATATTTCACATTTCATTGTTATAAATATATGGATATTTCAGCATCAGGGTTAGAGGCAAATGTTTGTTCATTGTCCGAAGGATTTTAAGGGGTAACGGTTCAGCTCTGCTGTAGGAAACGTATGCGATTGTACTTGTCTGAAATTCTTGGCGTACACCAAGCTAATTTTGGAGTACAATAGTACGTAAATACGCCTATTTTTCAAGTCCCGACTTAACCCATTAAGTTGCATCATGTCCCAATGAACCCTGCTTATTTATTTTACTCTGTCTAACGCCAGACAATTTTATTTGTCAAGAGGGGAGCGCTGGCATTCAATGAATTAAAAAGAAATTTTGTAAAGAGTTAAATATTTACAATTGTGTTAATAAAAGGTTTATGATCAGAGACTGAAGTCAACAATATTTTTGGCCTTGATGCATTGAACTCAAAAAAGTAATCATACAAGCTAAATTGAGGCTTAATTGTCTTTCGAAGCTTTGCAATTATTACAAATTGGATATACACCTGTGCACCGCATTTTACCCAATCAAAAACCACTATCTCTGTTTCGTCTAACAAATGGGCTGATTTATCAAGATGTTCAATTTTCTGATCATGTATATGCATAAATCATCGACATCTTGACAGCGTGTGAAATTACTTTGTAAATTTCACAAAATTTTAGGTCAGGGCTGTTCGTTTAGTGCGGCTTCGAAACTCACCTGCCATACTCCGATTATCGCATTCAATACAAGAATAACTAAAATTACAATAGGCTCTACAAATGCAGTGGATTGGTCTTCGCTATCTTCGAATAGAGCTAACACCTGCAACAGAATCCATCAAAAACAAGATGAAAAATTAAATTCTGACACATACATACACAAGGCAACATGCTGACATTCATTCACAAGTGACACAAAGCAAACTTACAAACGAAATGATAGCGGCCAGCAAAAGGATTTTCACTAGTAAATCATCAAATTGCTCTAAAACTAATTTCCACATTGGCTTGCCTATATTAAAAAGTCAGATAATCCAAATTTAAAATTTAATTCGCTACAGTGACATGAAGCTAGAATGTTCGGCTTCTGTCAATTAAACTGGGCAATTGTCCGTAAAACTTTGGAAAAACTTTAGGAAACACGTACCTTCCTCTGCTGGCATTTCTGAATACATGGAGTATAAAAGAAAAGGAAAATATTGACAATATTTAGACATTTTGAGTCCCTTATAAATTGATAGCAAATATAAACGCCGGGTGTAAAAAATTAAGCTTTGTAATTTCAGATGGTAGTGCATGAAAAATATAATCATTTTCATTCATTTTCGCTGTAGTTTTTCATCACAAATGACAAAGCTTTAGCTGTAGGATTAGGCAGACATTTGTCAAAGAAACATACGTACCATTGGGCCCATATTTTTCCTGGCTTAGCTGAACATCATCCAAACTTAGCCCGGTCGATTCCTCAACGCTGAAGTGCTCAAAAACTTGCTCGACACTTTTCGTGTGAGCCAAGTCCATTTTAAAGAAAGCGAACAACCGGGAAGACGGTAAATATATACAGAATCCCTGTCAGGTGAATGAAATGTTGTTTTAATCTCAGAGAAGTGTTAAAATTTCGGAAAATAATCATTCAATGCGAAACATCGTGGCACCGACACAGAAATACACGCTGGACGCGGAATGATATGATTGGTCGAAACCACGCCACGTGATTAATAATGAGCTTTCTGTAGCCAGGAGGGAGTGGCCTCTAAAACGTCTGCATTTAAATCACATTACATCCGGGGGGAAGGGATAAAATTTTGAAATTCAATTTCAAAGCTCAGTTGGAAGAGCATTGTCATTGTGCTGGTATTCCAAAGGCGTAGGTTCGAATCCCGCCGTGGCCAGGCATATTTTTCAAGCCTGCCCGGTGTGGATATACACTCAGAGTAACATCACACAAACATCTTATTCACCTGAGTACATTACACCAACAAAGCAGATTTCGTAAATTCAATTTCGTTTATAAAAATTAATATTTACAAATTTCGACTCATACAGACTTGCATAATTTTTATGCCAAATTTGAGGTAAAATTAGTTTCAAGATGATCAGGACATTTTTAGGGCCCATTGAAAAATTTTCCAGTATGACATTGGCCATGCTGTCCCCCAGTTTCCAGCCATGTTCCCAGCTGTAATCACTCAGAAGTGTCATCTATAATTAATGCCCTTCCTACACACATTCCTATTCTCTGCATTAAGTTAAATCTTCAACAAGATTCCTAAACAATCAAGCTTATTCAACAAGCTATTTACCTAAGTGTGGAAAATAGGAATGTATGTGGGAAGGTCTTAAAATGAGATGACACTTGAAACACAGCCGAAAACTTGTCTTTGAATGAACCAACTGCATAGAGTTTCACTCGGCCACTCGTTGGACACAGGTGGCCGAAAAGTCCTGGGGACGAGAATGGAAGTATGCTGATGTACAACCTCGTACACAGGGCTTCTGAGCAAAATAAAGTAATATGATTGGCTCATTTATTCATGGATTATTGGTTGAGATCAAATGATATTCGTCTTCCAACCAATCAAAGAGAAATCTGGAGAAATATAGCCATACAAAGTTTATTGAAATAAAAACTAACAAACACATAAATTTGAGTACTATTGCAACAAGTAGCACCCAAATAGTCAAACAAGATAGCCAGACTGTATATTCCAAAAATCTTTCACTCGCAAGAAACATTTTTTTTACTTTATTTTAAGATAAATACAAAGCTTAAAAATCAACATCATAACAGAAGTTACTGCAATTCTTGCATGTCAAGAAGTTGCTGGAATTCTTGTTACATTCCCTCCCTCTTGAGTTGGCTTAATTTCTATCAGAAAATTTGACAAGTCTTGTAGTAGTTCTACACAAATCTATGTACAAATAATGATTTTATAAAGATGATGATCCTAAGATACATCCCGGTATGACAATGGTCATGATGGGACAATTAGGATAAAAACGAGATGTGGTAGTTTATCGTCGATGTTGGAATCCTCCCCGATGACCACCTCCCCGATGACCGCCTCTGCCACGTCCACGGAAATGATCCCCTCGACCTCTTGCTGCCGCTAATAAAAAATTTAGAAAGTTAGAAACATGTAGGGTAGTGTGTGCAAATCATAGATATTATTTATGGACTAGATAGTGCATCTTTAATATAAAAATTGAAGCCAAAAATGTCGGCGGTTTCTTCCAAAAAACCCGGCTGGGGGCCATATTGGATATTCCCACTCCTCATATTTGCAACAAATTTGCATTGCTAAAACTTTGAAAAATGTTTCTATCAATGGGTTTTGCCTTAGAATACCAACATGGAATAAGTTAGCATTTCTTTCAATAATAAAACATTCAAATTTTCTCGCTCTTGGGAAGCTCCAAATTATATGGCCGCCGCCAACTTTCTGCGCCAATGATCAGGCTTCAAACACGGGTTGCCCATCAAACTAAATGCACTATCTAGTGGTGCAAATACCCAATGTAGGTAACAAACAATCTGCAATGCAAAATAATGAAAAAGACTTATCGTCAATGAGGGGATCAGGGCAATTGCAGTATTAATAGCAATAGTCTGATGGATGTGGACGAGTGGATGAATTATGAATGTTCAGATGAAGGAACATGTACTCAGAACATTCATAACCCATCTACTCGTTCTCATGCATCAGAAGAATGAAATCGCACTGGAAATCGCAGCAAAAATTGCAACTGTAAACGGGCCTTCACAAAGCACCATATGAAGCCCCAATGGTCGGAATCCATTCCTGACCATTCCTTTGATAACCATACGTTCCAACTTGCTAAGTAGGACTTGAGCGTTTGTATGCACTTTAGATACAATCTTGTGCACATTTTCTAAACTGATAAGCAAATTTAGTTAGTGAATATCTTAATATCCAGTGCAATACACAAAATATACCTTGAGCTCTCAAGATGGCAGATTTTCCACGACCAGCCGATGAGCCTTTGTCTCTCTGTTTCTTGAACATGGGCGCATTCTTTAACATGTCAGGTAAAATTATAAAACGAACTTTACTTCCACGGATAAACACATTCTGTAGTTGTGATACACGTCCGTCTCGAGATGTCAAAGTAATGTCTGACATTTGAATGTTCATGTTGTCCTCAGCTTCGATTAATTTTCCTCGGTATACTTCGCCCGTCATTGTCTCCAAAGTGACAACATGCCCCTCGGCTTCGTGTAAAATCTTTATAGGAATACCAATAGACATCTTTTCTCGTAATTTGTATCAGGATCTAACAGTTTTTGCAAAATACAAGGCAGATTCTTGTGGATTGAAAACTATACACACATGTAAATTTTGGAACTCAAAAATGGCCAAAAACGAACGTCCCGCGAACGCTTGGGGGTGGTAATGAGAGCTTAGATGGACAAGTGTGAGTAAATGGAGAAAATCAGGATAAGTTAGGGTGTTGTATCCCTAATGATCCAAAAAGTATGATCTTATTCATTATTATCCATGGATATACATACATGCCCTAATTCATACATGCATGTACCAAAACATACTCTTATGTACTCCCATATCCCAGCTGTATACATATATACCCCAGTTTATATATTTGTGTACATAAAAATACCTCTATGCACTGCAAAACCCCTATATGTATATATATGCTCAATGTTATTCATATACGTACCCATTTACCCCCTCTTCCGATCTATATAGTGGTACAGTTGTTGTCATTAGTGGATTATTTGGGGGATTTGAGGTTATTTTGACCACACCAAACAAACTATACTCTCGTACCACTTTATAAACATAAACAAAATAAAATTGAAAAATTATTTCAGTTTGTATGGTTTGTATTATGCGTGAAATCGTTTATTAGTTAAGAAGAAATATTATATTTAATTACAGGAAATGGCTAGCAAAAGAACTGAATTACCGCATGTGGTACAAAAATTCGACTGGGACTGTGGAATTGCCTGTATCCAAATGATTTTACTTCAATTAGGACAAATATTTGATGCCTCAGCATTATTTGGTGCACTGCCGATCCTGGGGGTGACAGAAAGTGTGTGGACAATAGATCTGGCAAATATTTTGCGACATTTCAAAATAGATTGTGTTTTCTATACTGTAACTTGTGGTGTCGACCCTGGTTATCAGGACGAAACATATTATAAGGATGACTTTAAAGCCGAGCAAACTCGGGTAAACACATTGTTTGAAAAAGCCACAGAAATGGGTATTAAAATTGTTAAAAGGTGAGTTTTATATACAGTACAACTTTTTCTTGCATTTGGTTAATTATTAACACTTTAATTAAATATTAATTAATTCATATTATTATTGCTAATTAAGATTAATACACCCTTCTGGAAGTACGTCATTTGGCTATACAGCCTTGTTTTTGTGTAAACGAGATTAATTGAATCCAATCCTCTCAATCACAAAAACGAGGCTCTATCAGGCCAATGTGATGTCATACTTTCCAGAAGGGTTGTTAACAATTACTCAATTAAATATTAATTAGTTAAGATACTATGATTGCTACTTTAGTTTACTTAATGTAATTATGGAATTATTATGTAAATAAAATTTAATTAATTGTTTAATTAATCTCATTTCCAGGTCTATAACTATGGCAGATATTCTTACAAAGTTGGACGAAGGAAACGTTGCAATTGTACTGGTCGACTCCAACATACTCACATGCAACTCTTGTGCAAAGAAATATGAACAATGTCAAGAAAACAATGCAATATATCTCCCGACATTTCCATTTTCAAATAATGATCGTACAAAAGATTATCAAGGACATTACATAGTTTTGTGTGGTTATGACACTGAGGCGGGGGTTATATTTTGTAAGAATCCTTCATTAGAGGATGTCGAATGTTGTGTGAACATCCCTTCATTTGATGCGGCAAGGAAAAGTTATGGCACGGATGAAGATATTATATTTATAAATATGAGCAAATAAATATGAACATATAAGTTTTTACAAAATGTGTTTGATATTATGTAAATTGACATAATTGTGCATGCTTGATTGCTTATAATACCAAACCACACAAACAATAATCTGCAACATACACAAACAACACCTGTAATATACTCAGTACCCAGCTTGTCAATTACAGATTGTAAATTTTATAGGATGCGTAATGTGACAATATTTTTTGTGAATATGTGCTTACGATATTCATACCTCAATCCAAGAAACTCAAATCCCTATATGGGCAACTGCCCCCCCCCCCCCAAAAAAAAAACAAACAAAAAAAAACTTCACAAAACCATGGCAATTTGCACAAATGCTGGGAAATATCAAGAAAATTGAGGCAGATTTATAAAAAAATATGTTAAATTCAGGTTAGTTCATTACAATCTTCCATAAAAAAATTGGGCAAACATTCAACTGCCCCCCCTGTCCCTTTGAACTTTGAAGACTAAATTCATGTCAAGTCGCCTCAAATATTGTCTACTGTTACACCTTGTTCTAAATTCTTCCTTTCCAATGGATTATTGAAAGTGATTATATATTTTTATATTTATTTGATATAGATGTTTTTGTGGAGTGTGAACAATTTAATTAGTCAATATTTGGTAAAATACACTGTCCAGTCTGGCTTTATTGTCCTTGATTTTTATCCCCCTCGCGAATGACATGTGGTTTGTAGTCGGGTTTCACTGCATTTGATAATTCTTCTGCGTACATATCCAGGCGAGATGTAGCCTGAAAAAGAAATCATACAGCTTTTTAAACAACATTGCCACCCTACGACTATGAGAACCATTATGGAACAATTTATTTCAAAAATGAATTAGGAAATTAACAAGACGCAACATTCGTACCTAAAACTACGTAACCTAAACGGAAATGATAAACAAAGTGCCAAAGAAGAAAACCACTTCGCTTTCACTAACATCTGTCAAAATCTGTCAAGTGCATGCCAATGCCAATATAATCCCGTTTTGCTAAGCAGACATTCCGCGTCAGTTATCGACACCTTTGGCTTCGTTCTGATCTTCGCATCTCTTGGGATTTGGGAAAGCCTGGGACATGGGATTCAATGTCCATAACGGCGAGGGCCCTTACTCTCACCCTGATGTTGTATCTCCAGCTTTTCTGGGGGCCCTTACCTCCATAAAACCGCCACCTTTCCGTCACCCAACTTTGGCCACAAACGAATTTGCGTGATTTATTAATCTCATTATTTTAGAAATTGTATTATAGTAAAGGAATGCTGTTTTTAGGGTTTGAAATCCAAGTGAGTATATATACACTTTAAGACCTGACATTAATAATCCATGGTAAAATATCGCCATCACTCATCAGGCAGAGGAGTTTTACCTGAAATCCCCACTTGTCTTTAACCTGACGACATAAATTGAGATCAACCTCAGTGACTAACAGACCATCAGATAATCGCGACAGACCCTATAACAAACATTATGTTTTAAGTAAACAGCACACGTAAAAATCTCAGAACTTGTCAACAAGATGTGTTCGCAACCGGCTTGTAGCAAGCTTGTCAACAAGTTGTAACAATGTTGTTATTTTATCAAGTTGCTACAAAGTTGTCGCTCACAACTTGTTGACAAATCGTTGAATTGCAGGACGATAACAAGTTGTTGGAATAACTTGTAACAAGTCTGTTGAGCTCAACAACCTTGTAGCAAGTTGTCAACAAGCTGGGAACAAGCAGTGCGAACACATCCTGTTGACAAGTTGTTGGAACAGCATTGCTATACAACTTTGCTGCAGGTTTGTTACAACTTGTGCGTTTTTACATGTATACATGTCTACATTTGAAAGAAGTTGCCACCTTGATTCATACAAGATTACGAGAATTATCCGAGAAAATTACGAGAAAAACTTACTGGTGTCCTAGACGCATCTGGCGCCGCAACATAACTTGAACCTTTCCAGAAAATGAGAATGATTAATATAGAACACGTCACTGACTCAAGAAGAGTCAAACTCAACAGTTTACAGTAATTATATGCGTTGGTATTGCTGTTTTAGTATATACATGTATTGGTCCACTTACCATAAAAATGTCCAAAATCATTGTGTGCTGAAAAAGAAATAAAAAAATATTTACTGATTTTATGAAAAAGGTATTGTCATAACCGCCGTTTGAATTAGATATGGACAGGTTATAAAAAATGTCAGTTATTTCGCTCGGTAATTTTTCCCACCCTTTTGCCGCTCTATATTAAGAGAAATGTCTTTTGAGAAACTTAATCCTTGATCTGGGCAGAGCGAGTTTACCGTTATTACGTATACACCTTAACACTAACAGACTTAGATTCTTGCACTTCATTTGGTGGAATTAATATTAGAATGTTAAGGTTTGTAATCCAAGTGAGAATATATACATTTTAAGACCTAACCAGGAACGACTGCGAAAAATGTAGCACAAGGTCCTCTGGTAGGAATTGAACCTACGGCCCTGCGATTCCGGTGCATGCAGCGTTCTATTCAATTCCTACCAGAGGACCTTGTGCTGCATTTTTCGCAGTCGTTCCTGGTTAGGTCTTAAAATGTATATATTCTCACTTGGATTACAAACCTTAACATTCTAATACTAACAGACTTACCCGGTTTCCCATCCCCAGATGTAAATTCATTCTCAAAAGTTTCCTGCATTAAAAAAACTCTTTTTTAGTACGTCTATAGACTATAGTACACCATATACCGGAGAGCTTTCTGTAGCGGCGGGAAAAAGCATCTATCCGATACGGAATGTACAACTTTCAGAAGCTTAGCGAAACAAAATCTCTCCGTTGCAATAATTCCTCCAAAAACAGCGTTCCTAAAAGGTACGGATAGATGTTTTTTCACGTCGCTACGGAAAGCTATATCCGGTATAGTGTAAAGCCTGTGTTCCACTTCAAGCGTATCGTAACGTAACGTAGCATTTTCTTTTGTGTCGAAGTCATTCAATTTTACTTTTGCTGTCCAGGCCTTAAAATATCGGTCGGTCACGGACATTGTCCGACCCATTCGTGAAATTGTCCGACGTAGAGAGGAAACCACCGGACATTCTGTCCGACCAAAATGAAACTGAGGTTTATTGTTTGTCCGACCCGAGTGTATTGGTGTCCGACCGAACTGTAGCTTTGTCCGACGTAAATCAAAATGTACCCTAGTCCAGGACTAAGGCTTGTATGTTAAATGGAAAATCAGAGTACTATTGTATAAAAGGTGAACTGGAAATGTTGTTTTAAAGTAGTCGAGCGCGTGGCGGCGAGCAAGTGAAGTGGAAAACGGGCTTAAGTTGTCGAAGTCTTTTTTAATACTGCTGTTCTGGCAAGCAAGTTAATTTTGGCTTGGAAATAAGTATGAAAGAAACAAATTATTTAATATCTTTACAACATTTACCGTTTATTCATTTGTGTCATTCAGACTTATTTCCGAGTCAAAACTGAACTGAAGGTCATCGGACATATGTCCTACCCAAACTCAACGTCACCGGACATTTTGTCAGACGGCCCTGGAAAATATATTTTAAGGCCTGCTGTCATGTGTTTTTACCCTCTTTAAATAAAGTTGTTCATTCATTCATTCATTCATTAGTTCCACTCTTACGCTCAGGAAACAAAGAAATGCGCTACGTTTTGGTACGATACGGTTGAAATGGAAAACCGGCTTAAACGTTGCCTTAAATTCTTAAAACACTCTTTCTTTGTCGTTATTCGACTAACCGTCCCAACTCTGTTGATCCCAACGACGAAGTAGTTGTTTGCGATGGCGGCACAACGAGCTTCAATTGGCCACATCGGTTCACTGAAAAATACATCAAAGATTAACATTTTGCTAGTGTAGCAATTAGATATTAATAATTGATACATTAGCTTGATTTGCAGTCAGAGGCCGCAGAAGCATCTCGAAAGTGGAGGGGCATTGACCGAAAGGGGCACTTTTGTATATGACCAGAATCAAACGATTTTATGACGTTCACGAGCCGAACGAAAATTTTTGAAAATATGGAGTCTCTCTAACGTCGGAAATGGCCTTTACAGAGTCTTTACTACTGCGAAAAGGGCATTTTCTTTCCAGAAAAAGAGGGCGTTTATTCAAGAAATACTTTTTTTCGTTTTTTAAATGGGGCATTTTAGCCCAGAAAAAAGGGCACTTTTTTCACTTTTAAGAAAAGTGGGGGGGCACATGCCCCCATTGCCCCCCCGGTTCCGCGGCCCCTGTTTGCAGTATACATATATGGGCGTGCTTATAAAAACGGGAGAAAAATCTGTAACACTAACACAGATTTTTCTCACGATTCAACGATTTTTCTTCCGTTGTAAAGTTGTTGAAAACTTTTTGCACGCAGAAAACTATAATATGAACAGACGAGAGAGCGGACAGCTTCAATTGAACGTTTAAATCGCTAAATGTCGAAGAAGGGGCATCGATTATTTACCAAAATCGGCCCGACAACTCGCAGCGTGTAAACGTAGCTTTAGGGCCTGTTCATCTATGAGCTCGGTTTGCTCGCCTGAGTAGAATGAAATAACTGTTTTTATTCCAACTAATATCACGTCTTCGAAATATTTTTGTTGTAAATAAATTAAGGAAGATAGATCATGACCTGGAGCCTCGTTTTCGTGTTAAAACTTATTTACACATTTATTGGTCAAAATAAAGAATTTTTTTTCATGCATGTGTTGAAGAAGGATGTTCTGCTTCTCTGTGCATAGCCCATGAGAAAAAAACTTGAAATCCTTTCCATTTAAGGTGGTCCTAAGTTGAAAACAGTGTAGTTGTAACGTAATTATCAAAAGAGTGTAAATATTAAGTCCCACCAAAACTATTTCTACAATTTGTGTTTTGTACCCTGTTGCATACAAGTCGAAATATTCATCCAGGTTTACACTTAAGGCCAAATAAAAAAAAACTTGGTTAGCATCACCGCCCGCCTCTGAAAATTTGTGAGAGTGTGACGCTAAGTTTTTTTTATTTGGCCTAGCTAATGTGGTTGAAAATGACCGCTCACTGTTGTACTAACCTGAGATCCCCAACAGTTGCAGAAGGATTAAAAACAATCTCGGCTTGGTTCACTCCCAACATATACCAATTTAACGGGTGATGACGACCATAACATATGTTTATTCCGATGCGACCTAAGAATTTGTTTTTTGTCAAGAGTAAATTTAAGGTTACTGTGCTAATGATTTCATTTTATTTCTGATATGATAATCAGGGACGCCGGAACTGGGGGGAGCCCGGCAGCCGCCCCCGTTGCCCTTTACCAGGAGGGGCAAGGGGGGCAGAGGTGCCCTTTCAATTTAAAGGATTGCCTTGGCGAAATAGCGAATTGTCAGAAATTGTCAGTGCAATTAGCGAATTGTCAGAAATGTTAGTGCAATTCTTTTACGAATTTGCTTCAGAAAACGCAAGAAATGCAGTCATCGAGCTTCAAGAATAGCACAATTGCCTGGCGGAGAACCCCCTCACACCCCTATCATCCAATAAATAGAAAACATGATTAGGCGAAGTTGAACTCCCGATGTTTTGCAAACATCTCTTAGAAAATATCAATTAAATAGTGCCCTTTCACGAAAATCTGCCCCCCTAATTGCCTTCACATCGTTCCGACGTCCATGATGAAAATGTCATTGTATTTAAGTTTTAACTCACCAAATTGCGTTTCAAATACAGGATGGCCAAGGTTTCCTTCCATATAGTAGGTTGACTGTTAAAAGACAATTTTTCTACATTTTAGACAATATGTCCAAAACACCAAATTTTGTGTAATGGCACGAAATTTGTTATGTTACCTCATTAAAATCTCCAACTCTGGGGATGTGATTTTTTCTTGTTTTGCCAATTACATTGCCAGTATTCGATATCACAACTAGAGAAGAATTTGTTAACGCTTACCACTAATTATCACAGCTACCAATTTAGTAAGATATGTGTGTTGAAATGATTAGAAATGTAATTATATGAAACCTGAAGTATTCCACAAGACATCTCTATGACTTTCTTCTCGTTCCAAAATTGATGATACAATCACCATGTTGTATTGTTTTGCCCACTGAAATCAACAAATACAACCAGTACATAAATTATTAGCAACTTCACTATTTGATTGATTGTCATGATCACAGATTAACTATTCAATTTATTTAATGTTTTCCCGACATAATTTTTGAGTCACACAATAATTAACAGGAATATATCTGTTTTAATTGTAACATTTTTCAAATTGGCAGACTCGATCACTATAAACAGTTAGCTGCTCCCCCCCCCCCCCCAAAAAAAAAACGGGTTTCCCGACCCCCATCTAGCTTTTGGCTACTGAAATCACAAACCTAATCTTTTCATCTAATTAGTTTGCAAAGAGTTTGGAGCAATTTTTCATACCCAGTTTGTGTTGTTGGTTTTGTATCTATATATAAAGTTTGTTTCAAAGTTGATATGATATTTAACAAATATTTGTACTATTCTGTGCTGCCGTAATTGACGTACTGTACGTAGAATATCACACTCATGCATGAGCATTTATAGAAAAGAATAACAAAAAAAAGAAAACCCAACCTACTCTAATAACCTAGGTTTTTGCAACAAAAAATAGGAAAACCAGGTATTCCTTTTTTGGCCTAGTACCTGTTGACAAATCTTCGTAGTTGGGCCATCTTCAGCTGATTGTGCAAACTCAACCCAGGGATATTTCTCTCTTGTGCAGAAGCAAAATGGCATGTCTGAAATTAGAGATAAACTAGAGATGAACTGTGAGCCACACCCAAAACCGAACACAGTATGCAACTTTACAACAATATCCAATGAAATAGAATGAAATACAAAACTCCTGTTTGTCAGTTTCAATGGATGGATTCGAGCTAATAAGACAAAATTTTAATCTAGACAAGAACGAAACATTACCACAGCTGGAACATTAGCATCTTAAAATGATTAAAATTGCAAGCAAAGTTTGGTTGCAAAATGTTGTAAAATGAAGAAAATATAGTCCTGTGAAGTTCACAAATTTGGTATATATTTGCATTACGCGTGGGAAAAATAACCATTTTTGAGCCGAAAGTGGTTATTTTTATCGCGTGTAATACAAATTTATACAAAATTTTCGACCTTCACAGCGCTATATTTTCTTCACTTTACAACATTTAGCAACCAATCTTTGCAATTTTACTCATTTTAACATGCTCTTTCTAGCTGTGGTGTTGGATTTCGTTCTTCTTGCCTTGATCAAAATTTAGTCTATAGCTGGATCGAATCACCTGTTTAAAACTCCAACTTTGACTTACTCCATGCTTCCTGAAAACAGATGACATTCACACCACATTGACTGGCAATCTTAACAATTTCTCCAATCCTTGAATGAATTGCTTCCAACTATTAATAATACCAATATATAAAGTAAAAATTAATAATACCAAATAATATAAAGTAAAATTTTTTAACAGTACTTATGTATGGTTATAATTGATCAGAGGTATAGTTCTGAAAACATTGGAGTATTTGTACTTGTAGCATTCTATGAAGAAAGTGTTGCTTAGCCTCCTGATGAAGACCATGCCAAAGTCAAAAGGGGTGCAGGGGGTATCCACCCCTAAATATTTTGCACCCACTCAGAAAGTTTTAATACCCACCTGGAGAAAGTTGCATCACCACCCTCAACTTCTGCCCCCCTCCCCACAGAAATTTAAATGCTTGTTGGATTAAACAACAGTAGTATGACTGAAATAAAGATTTTTAATTAACTAGTAAATAAATAAGACTAAAAAACAAGAATTTTGAAGTAAACAAGATCAAAAATCTCAAAAGTTTATTCATTGCCCTCTTACTCCCAACACTGTCCATCTGTCCCCACTAGCAACTCTTCCTCCAAACCTCTGCGACAACTTGCTCGGAAGTGCCACACATCCCCTCGTTCATTCCCCACCTAGTTTTTAGCACCCCCCCCCCCCCAGAGCAAGATCTGAAAATCTGACAGGATAATGTTTGAGTAGTGTTTACCACACCATTTACCTGTTCAGCTACAGGGGCTGTAGTTGACAGAACAATCTTGTGCTGAACAGCACCAATCCTGACAGTCCTTGGTTTACGTAGCTGTTCCGGACCTGCGTGAATTTTATAACCCGCCAACTCAACTTTCTTGGCATTTGACTCCTCTGTAATGTCTTGTGAAAATTCTAGTATGCTTTGAACAGAATAATTGAACAATATGCTTGTTTCAACTATTTTTAAGTCTGTGAGGGGCATGGCACAATACTTTAAATGTGGTTTTGTAAATTGGTATGGTATGGTAGGTTTTGGTATGGTATATGGTATGGTATGGTAAGTATGGGATGGTTTACAATACATTGCATGGTACTACAGTGTATTCCATTAATATGGCCAAGGACGGGCCAAAAAAATGTGGTCATATTAAATTAAGGGGTTCTTGATAAGAAAATGTATTGTCATGACATTTTTTGAGGACAAAAATAAGTGGCTGTAATAAGAAGGTGACCATATTAATGGGGTGGCCATCCATTAATATGGTGTTCCACTGTATATTGTATATAATGGTGTAGAATGGTATAATACTGTATGGTACCACACCAGACTGCATTTTCTCCACCGCGGGCGGAAGATCTTCCACGTGCATTTTTTATGCTTTCTATATATTTACTATTAAATTTTCGAAATCTTCCGCGTGCAATTTCCAAACTTTGCATTCTGGGTACCACATGACATGGTAAACTATGTTATATGGTATAATACCATTATTAATAATTTAATAAACTATGGTACAAGATTATATGGTATGACAATGTACAAGCCAGTCTGGAAAGTTTCCATTATGCAACCAAGAAATTGGACACACAATTTCGATATAAAATTTTTGAAAATCTGGCAAATCCTATTTAAATTCCGTAACCATGCACAACTCATTAACGAATCCTGATCAACATATTAAATGTACATTTTATAAAATGAAGGCTAACGCCTAACCTGCAGGGTTTCCCGTACAAAATACGTTTGACTTCCTTCAATTCATCTTCTGGGAGATTTTTCTCCAAACATTTCTCAATACTTTCAAATTTTCCTGCCATTTTTCAAAAAATTTGCAGCAAAAACTTTGTTTATGTATTTCACAACTCGTGGCAAAATTCCGAGGATTTTTAATTAGTCGCTATAATTGCGACAAATTTATCGTGAAATGAACATTCCACAGAAGGGAAGGAGTGTCATAGGTGTGTGAAGGGTGTGCCTCTTTTTAATTTTTAACACGTATAAAATATGCCATGTTCTTTCTTCTCGGTTGAGTTATTACTTGAACAGTAAACTTTAATTGCAACACAATTTCTGACACAAAGAAAAGTAGAAAATTAAGAAAAAGACACCTCTAGAAAGGGTATTTCATTTTACCCTTTTCATATTTCAAGCACAGTATCTCGTGATAGTTTTCAATCTCATTCCTTTTACAGTAATATATATAGCAACTTATTGAAAAATCCTTGAAGAAGCCTACATCATAAAGACTTATATACTACATTTTAATATATTAAATAGTACTATCAATTCCCCACCCCCTCACTTTGCAAATGGTCAGGGGGGAGGAGGGATGAGAATCCACGATGGTGTGACATTCAAAGAAGTGGGATTTCCCCTATTTGAGATACTTTCAAATTTCAATTTAGTCGACTTCTATGCTGTTTAGTGTACAAAAAATGAACACCACTGTGCTACTGAATTACAAAATGTGCGAGTACAATTATTATACAAGAAAACACGCAGTATTTTGCATAAAAATTTTACA